GTTGTGGGGTTGTTAACCAATGTCATAAAACAACATGTGTACTTCTGTTTCATGAGAAACTATTTGTTCTGTAAGCCTTCACCTGAAGTACAGTTAAAAAAAAAAAAAAAAAGAAATCTGAGCCCACCTGCATCTTGGTTCTGCCCTTCCATTTCTTCTGCACTTTGCTTCTCTTCTGGAGCATTCTCATCTTTTAAGAAAACCACAGAGCGGGAAAAAATACATCAAGTCAATTTATGAAATATCTCTTTATGGCTAATATGCAGCACTGAAATTAATTGTAACCAGTGTAGCATGACTCCCCATAATGCAAGGCAGAAAGATGAATCAGAAGCATGAAACAGAAAAATTACCTACATAAATAGGTACATTTATACTTGTCCCTTCTCACATGATTTGCTAGATAAAATGTTGAACTACAGTAAACAAAATTCACTCAGCAGTTCTGGTAACATCTCTCCTAGCACATTTTCCAAAATGCACTACAGATTTCAGTTACAGTGGCTTTTCTCCCCTGGATCAAGGAAGGTGTGCTGTGTAACAAAATCTCGGTGATTAAATTTCTATGCCATTTATTTTCCTGTTTGATATGTGTTTGTAAGAAAAGATCTAGTTTTACTTAACTTGCACTTGACAATCTAACATATCTGTGATATGAAATATTTTGTGTTGAACAGATTATATTGGTCAAGTTTGTGCCATAATACACAATTCCTTGAAAAATAAGTGGCTGGGTGTGATGGAGGTTATATACTAAAAACTACCTAAAATTTTCTTTTGACTTAAAATCTATAATACGTATCAGCAGATTTACGTGTAGAAAAAAAAAACTTCTCAAAGATAAATAAAGGCATGATTTTATAACTCGTTGCTGGGAGGGTCTCCAAATCTCTTTTCATTTGGGAAAAAAAAATAAGTTGTCAATTTATCAGACATGGGAAAAAATATAAAACATGTAGTTAAAGTACAGAAAACAGGGAAGCAGAAGTTACCAGCATATGTTAATGTGGGTAAAAGATGGCCACAAATCTTTTGTCTCTCCTCTATCAAGAGGTGGAGTCTATTTCCCCTCTCTTTAAATCTGGACTGGATTGGTAACTTGTTTAGACCAACAGAATGTGATGAAAGTGACGTTCTGGGACTTGTGATCCAAGGCCTGAAAGGATGGCCAGTTAGTGCTTTCTCCCTCTGGGAAGCCAGCCACCTTGCTATAAAGAAGCTCAGGCTAGCCTACTAACTGGAGAGAGGCACACAGAGAGAAAGAAAGGCCATGTAGGAAGTGCTGAGGTGCCAGACATGTGAGTGAAGCCTTCTTGCACCTTCTAATCCCGCTCAGGAGCCAGCTGAATGCAGTTGAATGGTGACCTCAGCCAACACCATGTGGAGCAGAAGAAACGCTCAGCTGAGCCCTTTCTAAATTCCTGACCCACAACCAGGCCCAAATTACTTATCCTTTTTCTGAGTACTTTAACCCACTCAACCATCTTCTGCTACTGCCTCTTAATCCAGAGGCAAGGGATTGGGGAAAACTTCCCCAGAGGAGGACTCTACTCATAGAATTAAAATAAGAACCTCAGAAGCAATGGGGAAGCATTTCACCAAGCAGCTCTGAAAAATAACCTATTGAAGAGAGTTTCAGATGGGGAGACATTTGGATTTCGACCTGAATGAGAGAAAAAGTTCATAATGGAATAACAACAACAAATTGAGTGACACTATGAAGTTGGGGAAGAATGCAGTCAGTGAATGTATGAGTATGTATACAATTCCCTCTGCCCAGCACTGAGTCATTTGCTATGGGGGATATGGCCTGGCTTTTAATACAAGGACCTGGGGCAGCACACTGCTTACAAGCATGCAAGCTCATCTGTCATTTTCTCTGTTCTAGTGCTTCATGTGGGCAAAGGTATTGGCTTTGGCTCTGGGGAGGCACACAGCCACCACGGCTGCCCTTGCTCCCTTTTCAAGGCCAACTTGGTGAAGGAATATGTGTCAAGAGTTAAGATCAGCACTTTCCCCTTCCTCCCACCAAGCAAGATAAATCGGCCAGACAGGTCTTTTAACACAGATTTCACAATAGACCTGAAGTCTGCAGGGTGACAGGCTGCCTTTAAAATTAGTGTGGTTACCCCTTCTCCTACAGAGTGGAGATAGAGAGCTTTTTTTATGAAGAGAGGAAGATAAAAAGGGAAAGAGAAACAACAGGAATGTTAGGAATTGGTTCCCACAGTTCTAAACGCTTGAAAAAATTCACAGTCAGACCCAAGTCCAGCTTCATGATAACAAAAACAAGTCTGGCTGTTCACCTATTCTACGGTTACTGGGTTTTGACCCCTAGTCCACACACATGCCAACCTGCTGCTCCCCAACAGTCACATCTGAATAGCATGTTTTTGTTTTCCACTTTGAGTCTCGGCTGCACAGTTTTCTAGTTGCAGAATTGCTGCCTGTGGAAAGCAAACTCAAGAAACACTTGGCATGTGCATCAAGGAGTACATGCATTCTAGAAGAATGCTGGATTTGCCATTTGAGTAACATGCGGGCAAATGAAAAGGTTCAGATATACTGTATTGCTTTAGTCAAATTCCAAAAGACACTGCATCCTCAAATCCAGCAGGGGGAACCAGTGTAGAAGTCTTGCATTTCAAAGTCCCACATATGCATTCTTGGGCAATTAGATTAGCATTCATTTCCCTCTATTAGAAGGACATTTTGGGTGGCTTATAAACTTCCATACCATTTCAAAGTTCTCAAATGGCTGAGTTATTAGTGAAACAGTGGGCTTCTACTGGGTGGGAAGAAAAATTATATTATACAGTTGCCTGAAGTATTTGATAAGGACAAGCTTTCTTTTTCTCAGCCTTGTCTATCTATCTTCCCAGAAAGCACATAAACTATAAAAAGTAGAGTGGGGCATGTAAACTTGCAGTTTTTGGAAGGGATTTATAGAGCTTACAATAAATGTGAAGAAATATAGAAGTGCTAGGCTATTTAGTTAGCTTAAAAAATGTCACACAGAAGCTAAATTATCTTGGTTAATATACCTTTAAGATCACATGTTTATTTCAAACAATAAATTTTCATAGCATTCATGCTAATTGTCACATAACACTTTACTTTCCCATGCCAAAACACACAGTAGCTTGTAAGAATTCTATGGTTATATTATTCTTTTTTCTCCAGTGTTAGTCCCAACTCCCTGCTTTCAAGCCATGTTTATTGAGCATGTACTACATGCAGTGATATTTCAGAGCAGTGCAAATTATATAGAAATAGAATTAAAAGATTCATTTGCCAAGTGACTTCATGTCAGTGGAAGGAACGCATAGTTGGTTGGACTATGATGAGAGCACAGTTCATGTTTAATTCCATGAGTGAGTTTTACAAGGGCAAAATCTCAATGGTCACAATCTCTTGGCCACAAGTTGCTATCTTGTTATTTGTAGCTCCTCTTGTGAGCTGTGCATATGAATAGGAAAAAAAAAGGGGAAATAAATCAGAGCAAATCCATGCCCGCTGCTGGGGAAATAACTTGGTGTCTACTGCCTGCTGGTGTACTATTACTTTATTTTTTATGTAATTAAAATATTGTGTTTTCAGTGAAAATTTGCACAGCAAATTAGGTTCCTGTTTAACAATTTCTACACAATTTTTTCAGTGACATTGGATACATTTTTCAGTTTGTCCACTTTCTCATTATTTCTGTTCTGATTGTTCTGTTTCCAGTAATCTAGTTTCCCTGTCCCCTTACCTTCTTGCCTCTGCTTTTGAGTAAATGTTGACTGTTGCTCTCGTATAGATGATATTTTTTAAAGAAGCACAGTACTCATGGATGATGATATTGTTTATTTTATGAGCCAATCTGCTACTTAGCTAAACGATGACCGCTTGGAATAGTTTTGGTTCAAGGTTTAAAGAGTATCTGAGAGCTATAGTCTCAGGGAGTCTTCCAGTCTCAACTGGTCCAGTAAGCCTGGATTTTTTAAGAATTTGAGTTCTGTTCCACATTTTGCTTCATTCTGTCAGGATCCATCTATTGTGTTCCTGATCAAAATCATCAGTAGTGGCAGCTGGACCCCATCTAGCTCTTCTGGCCTCGGGGTAGATGAGGTCGTGGTTCGTGTAGACTTATTAGTCCTGTGGACCAGTTTGTTCTCTGAGTCTTGATTTCCTTCTTTCTCTTTCACTCCGGAAGTGTAGAGACTAATAGTTGTATCTTAGATGGCCACTGGCAAGCTTTTCAGACCCCAGCTATTACTCACCAAGCTAGGATGTAGAACATAAACTTTACATACTATATTATGTCAATAGACTGAGTTGTCAGTCTATTGCTCCTAAGCTTCAAAAAAAGCAAAAAACCTAAACCCACTGCTGCTGAGTCGATTCTAACTCAGAGTGTCCCTAAAGGACAGAGTAGAACTGCCCCATAGGGTTTCCAAGGCTGTAAATCTTTACGGAAGCTGACGGCTGTATCTTTCTCCTTTGGAGCGGCTGGTGGGTTTGAACTACTAACCTTTCAGTTAGCAGCCAAGAATTTAAACCACTGCGCCACCCCATAAGCCAATTCTGTGAGATGTTTGGTTAAGTCTAAAAGTATCCCTGTTTGTGCCCCCTAGGTGCTCTATTGTATATATGAATATATATGCATGCATACAATAACATATACATACACCTGCATATAAATACATCCATATAGGCCTACGTATATACACACATGTACATACCTATACACTTGTACGTATACATCATACATACACATGTAACCACATTCCTATTTTTTAGTTGTTGCACAGTTGTATATGTCATAGCATTTACAAAAAAGTCCTTTTTTTTAAGTACTTCTTAGTGGCATCATTTACTTTGGTCAAGCTGTGTACACTGCCCCCAAATTTGATGTTATATTTCCCATCTCCAGAAATAATAAGTGTCTACCATCTAGAGAATGATCTGCCTCCCCCACCTCCCCAACTATCTCTGATAACTACCAGTGATCCTTGGTTTCAATATGTAACCCTATTCTTGTTTTTTTTATAATAGTGATATCATACAGTACTTGTCTTTTTGTGATTGACCTATTTCACTCAGCATAATGTCCTCCACATACATTCATATTATGAGAACTCATTATTATTCTTTATGGCTGCATAGTATTCCATTGTATGTATGTACCATGTTATGTTTATCCATTCA